AAGGGAGTATACAATTTGGACCAAAATTGGTATTTCTTAATGTTATTATCAAACTTTGGTCGAGTGCGGAGATGGACAATATCAGTACGCTCGGTTTGGTACCTCCCACACCAAAGGACAAAACTTTCACAGAAAATAACAAGATAGCATTACCCAATTTTTGTACAAAATTATGCAAATTCAAATATTCTTATCAGTACTAGATCAGATGCGAAAATGGATAATATCGACCCTCCCCGTCAAGCACCTCCCACACAACTAGTCACAATTTGGAAAATTTAAAACTATTTAAAAACAAGTAAGCAAAGGCTACAGTCGAGCGGGGCCGACCGTTGAATACCCTACAACACTATAATAAACCATACAGTTTACTCGACAGAATTCCACAAGATATTGTGACAAAAAATTAAAGAAAACCATCAGGTTTCGTTCTCTAATTTTCGAATAATAGCAACTTAAACTAATTTGCTCATTTCCAATTTATTGGTAGATGTTGCACGTAAATGGTCTTCCTAGATATGGAACCAATATTTCCCAAAGACCTATAATCTCTCAGAAGTGGCAAAATATTAACATTTATTATTGGTTTTTGACTGAAACGCATTTATATGAGATACAGACATTTGACTATATTCTTCAACGTGAAGAATTCTCGTGAAATTTGTGAATTCTCCAAAAAGTCTCTGTAATGGACATTTTCGTATTTTGTCTACAAAAGTTGGCAAACTATTTCACACATTGAATATTTTTGGATGGCCATTAGAAACTGCTTGGCTTTTGCAATGTGCGGTAACCCCCATTCAAATGTGCGTGAAGATCGGGCGATAATTACGACCTGCTGACAATTTTGCAGTTTTTTGGTCCATTTCAACCCCTAAATATATGGCGATCATCCAAAAAGAGTAGGCTTCTATTCTGACACTCATCTTATCCCCATGCAAAATTTCGTAAGGATCGGGCCATAAATGCGATCTGTATATGATATCCTGATATCCTAACCACTTAGTTTTGTTAGCTGTAGAAATATTACCAAATGTTTAATTCAAAATGAAAATATGCCAAAAATATGACAAAAATTGAAAAACTATGAGAAAATTTTACAAAATCAATATTTTCATCTTTAGAGAGATATTTTTATGCGATTTTTTTAGACGTTTTTTCTTTCCTGCCAAGAGGCCATTCTGAATTAATGAGAACTGTTGAAATCAGTTCAGCCGTTCTCGACATATAAGAGATCTTTCAAGCATATCTTCTTTCATAGACATATATATCGCACATATTTTACTATATATCCGATTTGTTGGATGTTAACATGAATGTAAAGATGTGATTGATGTGATGTGATGTGATTTCGCCGGGATTTAAAATATTCGCGGTTTTATGAAAAATTTTGAATTTTTTCAACAAAAAAGATATGGCCTATTTTACCCGCTAAATATTAATCGATGACCACCCAAATTGGTAGGCTTCTTCCCCGCCCTAAACTCTAGCTACATGCGAAATTCCGCGTCGATTGGTCTATAATTGCGACCTGTATAGCTACTGCAAAATCGGACATTTTTTCAGTATTTGGTCCATTTCAACCCCTAAACATTTGGCGATCATCTCCAAAAGAAATAGGGTTCTATTCTGACCCTAGCCCCACCTACATTCTAAATTTCGTGAAGATCGGGCCATAATTGCGACCTGTAGAGTGATTACAAATTAACATGGACAGACGGACAGACGGACAGACGGACGGACGGACATACATAGCTAGATCGACTCAGCTCGGCGAGCTAGGAAGATCCATATATACTTTCCTATGTGGGAAACCAATATTTCGAGGTGTTACATAATTTTTGGCCCAATCAAACTTATAATACCCCCAACACATAGTGTTGTAGGGTATAATTAAAATAAATAAGTCCCATTTCAAATTTCCCATTATATTTCATATATATGGTATACCTACAGGGTGCGATGAAAAACCTGCAATCAAATTCAGACTGCTGTCATTTCTAAGCCACTCTTCCGACAGCTGTTAAAATTATTCCAGTGACAGCTCATTATATTATTTACAAGCGTATAGCGACCCACTCCTCCTGGTTCTTCCCCACAAAGTGGTCAACATTTTGAATAACAAAACGATAATAAAATGCAGAATAAGCATTCGATTACTAAAGCAAGATCAGGTAAAGGTTATAGATATAGGTCAATCCCTCCCCCAAAAAAATTTGAAAATTTTGACTAACGATTATTCGCATAAAATCGGAAATAAATGCTACATTGCTTTATATATTGCAGAACTCAATATTTTTATATGCCTGGAAACTTACGCACATTTCAACGCTTTCCAAAAATTATCACAAATCTTCTTCTTCTATATCTTAAAACCGCTGAACAGATTTTCCTGAAAATTTTCAAGTATACTACAACATGAGCTGAAAGTTACATAGGCTATATATATTTTTAAAATTCCACTCGGAACTGGAGATATACCATAAGATTCAGAGGTACCTCCCAAAAATTAGGATTTTATATGCACATACCTATTGATCGATTACAGATACATTCTCCAAATTTGGAATAAATGACGGGATTTGATTAGACAATATATTTGCCATTTTATATGGAAATCGGTTCAAATTTGGATATAGCTCTCATATATTTTTTCGCCCGATTTCATGTATTTGATGCATTAAACACGCTGTGTATGTTCGATTGCAATGAAATTTGAAATGTGTGACGGGATTTGATAAAAAAATGTATTTGTGTGAATTATATTGAAATCGGTTCAGATTTGGATATAGCTCCCATATATATTTTCGGCCGATTTGATGCAATAAACACGATACGTATATCCGATTCCAATTAAATTCGGTATGAGTGGTTTAATTTGGTACAAAAATAAATTTTTCAAATTATATTGAAATCGGTTAAGATTTGGATTTAGCTCCCATATATATTTTCGGCAGATTTCACATATTTGATGCACCAAACACGATACGTATGTCCGATTCCAATGAAATTCGGCATGAGTGACTAAATTTGGTACAAAAACAAATTTGTAAAATTATATTGAAATCGTTTCAGATTGGAATATGATTTTATTAAGAAGTATTGACAATGGTATAAGGCTAACGGTAAACAAGTAAAATAGCAGTAAGTTCAGCCGGGCCGAACTTTGAATGCCCTCCACCATTAGGAACGAATTTGGCACTTTTCAAAAGACCGTTAAAAATTGTGTTAAAATTTTAAAAATACCGAATGTATACGAAGACGTGAACCTCCACAGAAAATCTTCTGTCATAGGCTGTAGTGTGCATTACGAACTTCAAATACCAAATTTGAACCAATTCCGGCGAATAATGTCTCTAAAATCATCAAAGTACCGAATATCGGTACCCCCGTTATATGGGGGCTGTACCAAAATGTGTACACATGGTCCATTTTCAAAACCAAAAGTCCTACATACATAATATACATTTGAGTAAAATCCTATCAACCTACTTTATTTCGTTCGGAAGTTAGAGTGATTTCCACAGACGCTAAAGCGACATAGAATTTTTTTAGGCTTATAATAATTTGTTTTTTGATTTCAGCCACAATTTTCAATGGAATTGTCTGAAAATCCACACAAGGAGTTCCTTCTGAATAATTTATCCCCTAATATAGAACGGTCTATATACATAGGTCTACGACATCGCATACCCCCTACACAATATTTTAGTCAGTGGCAGCAGACATAGACTTAGAAAAGGAATATTTATAATCGACCTATGACTTACCGTTAGGGAGCGCATTGCCACATATTTTATTCACTGAGCGTGCAATTGGTACTATAGTCTGCATAGAAGTCATTCTATCTGATAAAACTATTTTTATACCCTACACCACAAGGTGGTCAGTGTATTATGTCTTTGTGCATTTGTTTGTAACAGGCAAAAGGAAACGAGATAGACCCATAGTTCCTTTTGATGATCTGCATAGAATCACTTTCTGAGTTGATTTATGCATGTCAGTCCGTCCGTCCGTCCGTCTGTCCATGTATTCTTGTGAACAAAATGCAGGTCGCATTTATTATCCGATTGAGATGAAATTTTCCAAACAACATTTGTTTGGCCCAAGGACGAACCCTATTGAAATTGGAGATAATCGGTAAAAATTTACATATAGCTCCCATATATATCTTCGTCCGATTTGCCTTTTATTGTGCACCAATCGTGTAATATCAGCCAGAATAGTATGGAATTCTGCACATACAACCAAATTAGGCATGAAAATAAGTGTGCCGAATTTGATCGAAATCGGTTCAGATATAGCTACAGCTCCCATATATATTGTTCATCCGATTTGTAATTTTTGTCCTCCGCAGCCGTAATATGCACTCTGTAACAACAATATTTGGGGAAATATATCAAATGCAGCTCAGAAATACCTTTGCTAAATTTTATCGAGATCGGTTCAGATTTGGATATAGCTCCCATATATAACTTCATCCGATTTACCTTTTATTGTGCTCCAAACGTCTAATATTTGCCCAAATGCGACCGAATTGAGTCTAGAAGGTAGTATGCCAAATTTGGTGAAGATCGGTTCAGATATAGCTATAGCTCCCATATATATTGTTCATCCGATTTGTTGTATTTGTTACCCACAGCCGTAATATGCACTCCGTAACAACGATATTCAGGGAAATAAATCAAATACAGCTCAGAAATATCTTTACGAAATTTTATCGAGATCGGTCAGATTTGGATATATCTCCCATATATATCTTTATCTGATTTCAAATTAATTTTGCACCAAATGGGCAATACAAGTCCGAATTTAAAAGATACAAATGCTTCGGCATATTTATTACTTTGAATGTTAAACTATAATTATAATCATAGCGTGTATGATTGAATTATCCCATATAAAGCTTTTAATTGTTATGCGCAGCTCTACTAAATTAGTAAAGTGGTGTAGGGTATCATAAAATCGGCCCCGCCCGACTTTAGGACTTTCTTTACTGGTTTTATTTTTAAATAGTTTTCAATATTCATTTATTTACATACTCTAAAATCCAAAACAAATATAGATATTTTCATTTCAGACACACCTTTTATACAGCTTCAGCAAAACCAACACGGTTATTGGCGAAATCAAAGACGGTGTAGTATTTGCCAATGAAGACATCACCCAAAATCCAGAAATCAGTACCCATGTTGGTGAAAGAAGACATGCAATTACCATCGACGGTAACAATGTAGGCACTGGCAGGTAAAGTGAAGGTGGTACCACCAATGACGAAAGTGACATCGGGCAAGCTATCAATGGCGGAACAATCAACATAGTAGTTGCCATCATCCTCATTGTAAGTGGCACCGATTTCGGTGTTCAGGGTATTGTAAGCATCGGAAGGAGCAACAATCAAGCTGGTGCCGGTATCAGCAATAGCTTGGCAGTTATCACAAATGCTTTGGCCCTTAATGGCACCAGAGGTAACTTCGAATTGCCAGTAACCTTGAGTGGAGACGGGAACATAGGTAATATCACCGGTGTACAAGCTGGAATCAACACCACCCAAAATTAATTGACCACCATCGGTAGAGGTGCCATCACGGTTCAAAAGGAATGAGAACATATTGGCATCGACCAAACCTTGAGAGTACATATTGTAGAAGGGAGGCACAACATTGTCTTCGGCCAATGATTGGTAAGCCATGCCGAAAATACCATCGAAGTTGGAATCAGTGAAACTGTTACCGGGTTCGTTCATGGCCTCGGCGAATACTTGGTTCTTAATGGCCAATCCTTCAACGGTGACAACATCTTGCGACAAGAAACCGCTCATGCTGCCAGAGCCATAAGAGATGGAGATCTGTTCGCCATTCTTGACGTAGGTGGTGGAGTCATCGTGGTTATATTGGTTGTGTTTCTTGCAGGCAATATCCCAGATCCAGCAGTGGCTAGAGGGAACCCACAAATTGGAGGAGCCAGTGTCGAACAAGACAACAAACTTCTGGGGTGGTGTACCAATGGTAATGTCACCATAGTATGCCATGTTCAGGGAATTTTCCAAAGGTTCATCGGTGACATCACGAGGTTGGGGCAACTTGTATTTGTTGCGTAAAACAGCTTTTTCGGAACGTATATCCTTGCTGGTCTTGACGAAGTTTTCATGCTTGTGAATTGGTACACGGACCACTTCAGCGGTGGCCACAGCCAAAATAATGGCTAACAAACCGAACAATTTAAACATTTTAAAATATTCTGCAAAAGAAAATTCAAAGTGTAAATTTAGAAATATAAAACTTGAATCAGAGAGATTTTTTTTTATTACCTTTTAATTTAATTGTGATTTCCCAAAAGAAACAACACAATTACTAATTTCACTTCGGGGTGAATCAACTACATTTATACTCAAGGATAAGATCTTGTCAATGTCTGACACTGAAGATATCGGAAGAAAATTTGACACACATTTCAAGATAAGACAAAAATTGCAACCAAAACATCTGATTGAAATCTGTATTTTTTTGGAAACAATTTTGTTTACCTAAGCAGAAATTCAGATTAGATAGTAATAAAAGAAGAAAAAATACGTAAGGGTTTTACGCACGACGAAGTAAAAGATTATACGTTTTCGAAAGCAGTTATTAAAAATTCCCAAAAATTTGGGATTTGCCAGTTAAAATATTGAGGTCCTGCCAATTCTCATAATTTGGGGCTACATTAAACAATATATAATTATGATCGTTAACAGACAAAAATATTAGATGTTCAAGTAAAATTCCATAAAAATATATAAAAATGGATGGGCCGGGTGGGCTACGATTGTGATTGGAAGATCCATTGATATCTAACTTTATACCCTCCACCTACATAGCATGGAGGGTATATTAAGTTCGTCATTTTTTCACAGATCGGTCTTTTGTCTTCAGACAGGCGGGCTATATCGGTCCACGATATCGTAAAACCCCCCATATAACGGCATCCCCTATTATTCGGTATTTTCATGCCATAATTTTCAATGAAGTTGTCTTAAAATCCACATAAGGTGTACCTTATGAGTACATTACCCAATGGAAGAGAATTATCCATACAGGTTCACGATATCCTATATCCCCCATTTAATGGTTCCTGCCGAAATTATTATTAAGATTGTGTTGTTTTGATGATTGTCTCCAAATTTTTCAATGGAATTCCACGGTTTAGTATAGCACCCATATAACGGAACTACCAGATATTCTATATTTTGATGATTTTAGCGACATTATTAACCTGAATTGTCAAATTTCATATTTAAAGTTCGTAATGGGTAGCCAATGACGGAAAATTGTCTATGCAGGTCCCCTTCGTCGCACAGCCCACATATAACGGTATCTCCCTATATGATATTAGCGAAATTATTCACTGGAATTATTTCAAATTTCGTATTTAAAGTTCATTGTCGATACAACAGTCTATGACGAACAAGTAAAAAAGCTGTAAGTTCGGCTGGGCCGAACTTTGAATTCCCTCCACTATTTGGTACAAATTTAACAATTTTCAAAAAAATAGAATAAGTTAAAAATTCTGTTGAAATCTTGAAAATACCTAATGTAGCCGTATATTAGAGTCTATACGACGACGTGGGCCTGCATAGGCAACTTTTGTCACAAGCTATTACAATATTCAAATGCGAAACTTGAAAAAAATCTGTTTATAATGTAGCTAAAATCACCAAAATACCGAATATAAGGAGGTACCATGGTGGTTATAAAACGTGGATCTGCACAGACCCGTGGATCTTTCTGTCATAGGCTGTAAAAGCAATTACGAACTTCAAATACCAAATTTGAAACAATTCCGGTGAAAAATATCGCTAAAATCATCAAAATACCGAATATCGGGGGTACCGTTATATTGGGGCAATACGAAGACGTGGACCTGCACAGACAATTTTCAGTCATAGGCTGTAGTATTCATTACGAACTTCAAATTCCAAATTTGAAACAATTCCGGTAAATAATGTCGCTAAAATCATCAAAATACCGAATATCGGGAGGTACCGTTATATGGGGGCTATACGAAGACGTTATATGGGGGCTATACGAATTTTGAAACAAATCCGGTAAAAAAATGTCGCTAGAATCATCCAAATACCGCATATCGGGAGGTACAGTTATATGGGGGCTATACGAAGACGTGGACCTACATGGCCCATTTTCAATACCAAAAGTCCTCCAGACATAGTACACATTTGAGTAAAATTTTATCAACCTACTTCATTTCGTTCGGAAGCTTGAGTGATTTCCACGGACGGACAGACGGACGGATATTGATAATTCGACATAGAATTTTGATGCTGATCAAGAATATATATATATATATATATATATATATATATATATATACATTGTAGGGTCTAAAAATGTATAATAATATAATCTCCATACTATGGTGGAGGGTTTAAAAATTATTTATGCAAGACCACGTCTTCGTATAGCACCATACAACGGTTTTCATAAGAGTGGTGTTTTTCAACGAAATTTTTTAAGTTCCTTCCAAATGGTGGAGGGTATAAAAAGTTCGGCCCGGCCAAACTTACCTCCCTTTTGACATGGTATACCCTCCACCATACTATGGAAGATATTTCCGTTTCTAAATCCTCAAAATACTCATGTCAGACCCAACAAGTAAAAAAGCTGTAAGTTCGGCCGGGCCGAACTTTGAACACCCTCCACCATTTCGAACGAATTTGGCAATTCTCATAAACAAAAAAATCCGTTAACAAATCTGTTAAAATTTTAAAAATACCGAATGTATCTATTATATTACGGTCTATACGACGACATGAACCTGCGTACGTAATATTTGTCCTAAGCCATTACAATATTCAAATGCGAAACTTAAAAAAAATCGGTTATAATGTCGATAAAATCAAAATACCGAATATCGGGAGGTACCATTATATGGCGGCTATACCAAAACGTGGACCTGTACGGACAACTTTCAGTCATAGGCTGTAGTATCCATTACGAACTTCAAATACTAAATTTGAAATAATTCCGAGGTATAATGTCGCTAAATGCATCAAAATACCGAATATCAGGAGGTGCCGTTATGCACAGACAATTTTCTGTCTTAGGCTGTAGTATCTATTACGAACTTCAAATACCAAATTTGAAATATTTCCGGTGAGTAGTGTGGGTTAAATCCCTAAAATACCGAAAATAGGGAGGTTCCATTATATGGGGGCTATACCAAAACTAGGTATAGCCCATTTTCAATACCAAAAGTACTGCAGACATAATATACATTTGAGTAAAATGTTATCAACCTACTTCATTTTGTTCGGAAGCTAGAGTGATTTCCACAGACGTACAGACGGACGGATATTGCTAAATCAACATAGAATTGTATGTTGATCAAGAATATATATTCGAGGTGTTACAAACGGAATGACAAATCTCATATGCCTTCCATACTATGGTGGAGGGTATAAAAATGCCTAACATGCACTTTTGAAAGAATCTAAAACTTTTAAGGTGGTAGCGGGCATTTGTTTGTGATATATACTCCCTACTAAGTAAGCATTGTGGTGTATGGTATCATCGCCCGAAATTTGGTCCCTCTTTACAAGTTATTTGTTGTACACAATCCCTTCATTCTATCTGTACAATATGTAATCATAAATCACTTGTTTTGTTGTAAATTTGGGCATGTAAACTGGCATGCGTTCAATGTCAAGTAATAACTTGCTATCATTTTAAATTTCCTGTATGGAATAAAATAAAATAACAAATTTTTGATTACACTCGTAGGCGGTGTGCCAAAACGCAATTACATTTTATTTATATTGTTGGTATTTTGTTTACACTGTGCTACATGTCATACCATTAAATATACCTATAATGGGGCTGTATTATTAATGGGACCTATAAAACGGGGGTGAATTTTGAAATATATATTTGTGTGAAGTTGATGTGTCCAAATAGTTTTAGTTAATCCCATTTGTAAATAATACCAAACATCGGCCGGAGGCTATATCAGATGGTGGCCTTATTTAGATATTTTTTTGTCCAAAGTTGACTTAAAATCCAAATTTTATGGAAAATTCAGTTGTTAGATGTGGTAGACATCTTCCATAGGCCAATAATTGGGCGGAACTGTTATATAGACATATACCAGAACAAGGACTGTTTACGAAATTTTTGTCTTGTACAGAGATGACACATTAAATGAAAGGCCCAAATACAAAATTATTACAGTCTCTAATTATCAATATTATTATTTTGACCGCATGGATGTCGACAATTTGGAAGCTATTCACCATCGCAAAAATCGGAAAAAACGGTCTCAAAATTAACTCAAGAAACTTCTGTCCCTCCACCTTAGTGTACTGTTTATCATAAATCACTGAAAGCTATTGGCATTAAAAAAATGATAGTGATTCTATAGTTTCCATATATTTTACAACAATTATAAGCTTTATTATTTTCAATAACACTTGGAAGATAACGGAACACTCTCACACACGCGCACGCACTATAACGATCGCGTGTGACCAGACCAGAAGTCTATTATCGTAATAGGTGAGCAAACTAATTATCAGCTTTATTTGTCTGCAAAATATTTACTTGGAATTTGTAAAAGAAAAAAAAAAATAATAATAAGAACTAAAATCAAATCATATGTCAAGTGCTGTTTGTGGCGCAACAATAAATTTTCGACGAACTTAGTTTTTAATGCAAATGATTTATTTGTTGATTCTTTGGAATTGCCAAAGAGTAATTAAGTTTATCTTTATTATTACATAACTGTCAGTATTGATATTATATTAGATCGTAGTTTATTGGGCTGAATACACGGACTATAAAAGTTAATAATTATCGTTGTTATTTATTGTTGACCTGGTAGATTTTAATATTTTTGATGATAGTTCGGCTGAAGGTCAGTAAAACAATTTTATTAATTTATCTCCTTTTTTCTCTTTATTTATCCAATATTTCGATTGTCATCGACAATCATCTTCAGGGATCTGTTACAAATAACACAAATTATTACAAATTAATAAGACAAATTACACAACACACAATTCTTACATTAACTTTGTTTTAGAGGAAAACGTCTGCTCTAATTTAACGTTGTGTAATTTGATTTATTAATTTGTAATAATTTGTGTTATTTGTAACAGATCCCTGAAGATGATTGTCCATGACAATCGAAATATTGGATAAATAAAGAGAAAAAAGGAGATAACTAAATAAAATTGTTTTACTGACCTTCAGCCGAACTATCATCAAAAATATGTTAATAATTATCTCTACAAATATGTAATTACATTTCTTGTAGTTCTTGCTTCAACGTAAATGGCGCCCAATTACGCAACTACGTTAGGCTTTTTATATAATTTTGATACTTTATCAACATTTTCCAACGAAATTGTTTCAATTTTGCTATTTGAAGTTCTAACTGGATATCAAC